GATAATAATCATATGTGTTAGGACTTTTCAAGAAATTTATATGTGTTGGATTTCAAAAATTTTTTTTATACTTGTTCTTAATGCATTAAAGTGTTATTATGAGGGATAATAATCATATGTGTTAGGACTTTTCAAGAAATTTATATGTGTTGGATTTCAAAAATTTTTTTTATACTTGTTCTTAATGCATTAAAGTGTTATTATGAGGGATAATAATCATATGTGTTAGGACTTTTCAAGAAATTTATATGTGTTGGATTTCAAAAATTTTTTTTATACTTGTTCTTAATGCATTAAAGTGTTATTATGAGGGATAATAATCATATGTGTTAGGACTTTTCAAGAAATTTATATGTGTTGGATTTCAAAAATTTTTTTTATACTTGTTCTTAATGCATTAAAGTGTTATTATGAGGGATAATAATCATATGTGTTAGGACTTTTCAAGAAATTTATATGTGTTGGATTTCAAAAATTTTTTTTATACTTGTTCTTAATGCATTAAAGTGTTATTATGAGGGATAATAATCATATGTGTTAGGACTTTTCAAGAAATTTATATGTGTTGGATTTCAAAAATTTTTTTTATACTTGTTCTTAATGCATTAAAGTGTTATTATGAGGGATAATAATCATATGTGTTAGGACTTTTCAAGAAATTTATATGTGTTGGATTTCAAAAATTTTTTTTATACTTGTTCTTAATGCATTAAAGTGTTATTATGAGGGATAATAATCATATGTGTTAGGACTTTTCAAGAAATTTATATGTGTTGGATTTCAAAAATTTTTTTTATACTTGTTCTTAATGCATTAAAGTGTTATTATGAGGGATAATAATCATATGTGTTAGGACTTTTCAAGAAATTTATATGTGTTGGATTTCAAAAATTTTTTTTATACTTGTTCTTAATGCATTAAAGTGTTATTATGAGGGTAAGACTTAGAGGTTGGGAAAAGTTAACAAATGCTAAGTTTTTTTTTTTTTTTAAAATCAAAAAATTAGGAAATTTAGATTGGGAGATTGGAACTCCCACAAGGCTTGGGGTTAAAAGCCCCCTTTTACTTAATATCTAACTAGCATATCACCCGTGCTATGCACGGATTGTGTTTACAATTATCTATATATGTGAATTGTGATTTAAATTTTTTTTTTTAAATGTCTTCTTTTTTTCCTTTTTTATATTATATTATGTTAAATTTTAATATTTTGATAATAATCATATGTGTTGGACTTTTCAAGAAATTTTTTTTATGCTTGATTTTAATACATTGAAGTGTTATTATGAGGGATAATAATCATATGTGTTGGGACTTTTCAAGGAATTCATATGTGTTAGATTTCAAAGAATTTGTTTTATGCTTGTTCTTAATGCATTAAAGTGTTATTATGAGGGTAAGACTTGGGAGTTGGGAGAAGTTAATAAATGCTAAGATTTTTTTTTTAAAGAAAAAAATCAAGAAATTTAGATTGGGAGATTGGAACTCTCACAAGGCTTGGGGTTAAAAACCTCATTTTGCTTAATATATAGTATAGATATAGATTTAATGGAAGTGTATTGAAAAATTGGGTGTACTTAATAATTTTTTGGGTACAAATAGAAGTATCCTAACAAGTCTAAATCTAAATGCACAAAGTAAAATACAAAATGAGATAAAAATATCTTACAAGGAGTGGGACCTACATAATGTGGAACTTTATATATAAAAAATACAACTCGGTCTAATGTGAACTTTGTCACATTTTTTTTAAAATTCCTAAATTTTTATTGTGTAACGACTTTAAATTTTAATTTCTTCAATTTTCTTTTTTGTACATATATATATTGTGGGGATGTATTTTCTGAATACCAACACGTGGCATGGTGACGCCGACGTGTCGGCCGAGGTGCCACGTGCCCTGGTAGTTAAGCCGAGGTAATCTCGGAGAAGCCGAGGTCATCTCCGAAGATATCGGAATCTGAGATAAGGAACAAGAGTCCTAAGACGGAGAGGGGACTTGACCTTGGATAAGGATAAAACTCTTAGGGAGTTTATCTTTATCTCTTAAAGAGTCCAGAGTAAGCACTAAAATTGGAGTTCATAGAAGTCACAATTCAAATGGGACTTGGATTGAGTATGTTATAAAAGAGAGGCACCCCCGTGGGTCTAAGGTATGCAATTTATGTTTTGAGTATTAAGTTTTGCACTTGATTATCCTTGAGAGATATACTGACTTGATCGTCGGAGTGCCCCCGGGTGGAAGAACCACCGCCGGAGCTTTTTCTTTCTGTTACAGGTTGCTGAAACCATCTATTCTGCCTGTGCTCACCAGCTGATCACTAAGCGGGCAGTGTGGTCAGATTTTTACCCACACAATTTGGCGCGCGTCTGTGGGAACGAAGGAAGAATAGATGGCCAGTAACGGACAGCAGGAAAATATTGGGGATGACGCTCCTTCTGGGAGTAACAGACCAATTGACCTTGACATTGAAGGAAACAACCACAATACAGAAGCCCGTGACCAGGGCCACAGAGAGAACGACGTCAACCTGGAAGGCGACACGTCAAAAAGAACAAACCAAGGAAAGTACTACAATGAAGATAACCTCCAGGTATGGAGGGACAGGTGCCTACGGAGGGATGAGGAAGTAAAAGAATTGGCGAACAAGTTGGCAGACCTTCAGTCAGTCGTCAACTTCATGATGCAAAATAATGTAATGCAGCCACCATACCCGCTACAAGATACGCCGATACCAGCAACCAACACCCAAAAGGGCGGACGAAAAACAATCCCCGAGGTCCCTCAGCATACCAGGAGCGAAAGGCATTCTCACTGGCCTTCCAGGGAAGTCGGACGGGAAAAGCCGAGGCAAGAAGAGTCCCGAAGGACGCACCACATGAAGAATCCAGACCCCAAAGAACATCGACATGTTCAGGGGCAAGTACTCCATTTTGACACATCCCATGAAGAAAGACCCAAACGGACCCACCTCGAGGCCGAAAGCAGTGTGCCAAAAAGATTAAAATCCAAAGACAGCCGAGCTCCAGGGAGGAGCAAAGAAGACCTAAGGGACTACCTCAAAA